CATTCAGGTTATATTCATCAGAAACAATTCTTCTAATGAAAGTGATAACACTCTGGAGCATTCGAGCAGCAGCGATGCTCAGTCTCTTTGACCAGAGGAATGAAGGGACATCTGAAATATCTGATAGCGTTGAATAGTTTTCTTGCCATCAATGCATTTCTTGGAAACACTGTCGTGCTGATGACTCTTCCAAAGGAACCTTCTCTTCATCCGCCCTCGATGCCTTTGTTTCGTTGTCTGACAGCAACTGATCTCTGTGTTGGTCTGATTACAGAACCCTTGAATGTCAACTATTATGTTTCCCTGTTAAAGGAGGACTGGAAGACTTGTCTCTGCATATAAGGAACGTTTCATAACAGGTTATATTTTGTCTTCCATATCTTTGTTAACAAGAACGGCAATAAGCGTGGACAGACTTCTCGTTCTGTAACAGGTACTGAGATATAAAGCCAGTGTAACTTTAAGGCGAACATATGTGGCTGTGGTTACCTTTTGGTTTATTTCCACTATCGCTGCCTCACTTTATCTCCTAAACTATCTTATCACCTTTCTTTTTGGCTTCATATTCATTTCATTCTGTATTTTTGTTTCAATTTGTTATTACACAAAGACTTCCTTTACACTACGTCACCATCGAACTCAGACACAAGAAAATGTCTCTGTTGGAATAGTGAGGCAAGCAATGAACTTAGCGCAATACAGAAAGACAGCGTACGGTGCACTGTGGGTGCAACTGGCTTTAGTGGCTTGCTAAATTCTCTATGGCATTGTTGGTGCTCTCTTTAGTAATAGTAAACTCACGCCATCGAAACTTTTGTTTTTGGAGGTTACGATACCCTCAGTATGCTTAAACTCGTCGTTAAACCTGTTCCTTTCAGTTACATCCGGAAAATTTGCGAAGTGAGAAATGCTGTAGAAAAGACCATCAGTCAGACACTTTGTCATTTATTCAATTAACAAGTGCACATTATCGGTAACAGAGCACTGAGTAGATATTTAAACTAACGATTTATTATCGTGGAAGCAATGAGAACGCGATGGAAATAATCAGTAATGAAACCCGATCAGTTATCACAAAGAACACTGAACTGAGAAGTTACTTCCATGCTCCAAGCAAATATTCTGAGCAAGTCCACTTACAAGTACCAAAAACACAGGAAGCATTTCGATGACAAAACGTATAACATCCTCTCAGCGTAGAATGTCATAAGCGGTACATTGCCAACGAATAGCTCTTCGAATCGATCTTATTAATCCAAATTTCCTACTGATCAAAAAGGTACAGCTTTAGTTCCTATCCAAAATGTATTCAAGTTTCGCTTTGACCCAAATAAACACACATTGATGGCAAGCATGTTTAAAAGACTAAGCGGAACTCGTGCTAAGTTCAAACATGGTGCGACTGACCTAAAGAAAGACACCTTGATGGCGACCAGGTTTAAAAGGCTATGCGGAACTCGTGCCAAGTTCAACCATGGCGCGACTGCGTCAAGCCACATAAAATTTAGTGTTTATTTAACGCCTGCCAAACAGAACCTACTTAATTGGACAAAATATATGAATATATGAACTTCATATATTCATTGTATCTGGACAAAATGTATTGTAATAACTCAGCTTCACACTATACAGAAAATTTCCAACTCGTTAAATAATAATTTTCTCATTTGGTATTAAATGAAAAGTAGTTAGAACGTAATGTTGATTGGGTTTTTTCAATAAAATATAGAATTTACCATTCAAGGAGACTTAAAATGCAAAACTGGCTCACTTGTAGAAATACTTTTTGGTTTTACTGCTAGCAGTCTAAAACAAATGAGACAATAAACGACAAATTTTGCACCTCGAAGATATCAGTTTGAATTTACGACATTCTCTAAGTGCATCCCTGTCTTTTCATATTCAGAATTTGAGATAACTTCAAATTTCTGTTCGAATAAAAGATGATTTCTTAAATTGGTTCTAATCACCTTAAAAATTAAAAAGTAACACTAAGATAGAGTGTATTGTTCATCTCCACAGATTAGCGCAAAACTCTTGGAGCCGTTAATCAAAAAGCAATTCACAAATTGTAACCTTGGGAGGCTACCTTTGTGGAAAACTCGACTGGTGTAACGTGAATAGAGTCGGAGCTGAATTCGAACGCACGTATCAGTAATGCCAAAGTCCAAGTTTTAATCCAGCAGACGTAAATTTACAATCAACGTGTGACTACTGTGCCGATAGCTCGAAATTATGATGGTAAAGCTTTGTGACTTCGTGGTTCGAACTATAAACGAAATAGGACGACAACTACCTAAGTATAATGAGCTACAAGAACGTAACGCTAGAAACAAAGAAACGACTATGTAGAAAACAAAAGCCCAAAATAAATGGACAACGTGACGATACTAAGATAAAATAAACCTAAAATAAATATACAGGAACTTACTTTGGTCTAGCTCCTAGAGGAGACAACAGCATGCACGATAGCAAGAAAACCTCTGGTAGATAGCCTAGCTCGTAGCCGATCGCAACCATCTCACTGAATACCCTCACGTAAACCTGAAACCTAAAACCTAACACGTGTAGGAAAACGGAAAGAGTCCCTACGGAGCGCGCTAAATTATTGACCAGCGAACGAAACGTCATATAAAACTATTAACACGTAACGAGTAAACGAAACATACAAAACCGCGTTTAAACCCAACACAAATAAATATATTTCCACTTCAGCTCTGCGTAAATATTACTGCTACATGCATTCAAGAAACTTCCACATCAAGTGGTCACTCAAAGATGTTATTCAGAAGGTTTCCAATGTCAGTTATAACGAGAGGGTTGGTACCAGAGCTTGGTGAAGTTTCTCTTTTTATGAGAGTGTTAAATGAACTAAATACGTTCCTTCGGAGAGGTCACCAAGGATACTAAGGCCCTCCCTGCATGTTACAACTGGTATGCTGCAACAGGGATAATAGCACAAGTAAACCTAACTGGAGACACCTCAGATCCACTACGATGCAAGGGCAATTGGACAGACGAGGTGTACAAAGCTGTGATAGGCATTTCAGCTTTCAGCATCTTTTTAGCCGGCGATTATCGCACTTCACAGAGAATCTGTTCTGTCTCAACCGTCCAAATTCTTGTGTCAATGTCTAGCAACAACGGATCTTTGCACTGGTCTTATTTCAGTCTGTTAGAACTGTTTATCGGTTTTCTGTCATTCACAAAGATTGGAAACTTACTGTCATGAGTGTAGACAGACTTCTTGCTTTGTTATTGGGGCTGAGGAACAAAAATGTTGTAACTTTGGGCGCACATTTGTCTTCGTGGTCATTTTTTGGGTCGTTGTCATAGCCACTGCATCTTCCTTCTTTGCGAATCCCCGAATAACCATGCGGATTACCTATATCGTTTCACCATTTTGCATTGTAACAGCAACGTTCTCTTAAGCAACAATTTTTGTTCCTCTCCGTCGTCACCAGAATCAAATGCAAGTTAATAGACTGCAACAAACAGGCCAGCGAGTCTCCTTAAACATGATGCGGTACAGAAAAGCGGTGTACAGTACACTATGGGTGTAGGTGGCTCTCCTACTTTGCTATCTACCGTATTGCATAACAGTAGTAACTGTTACTAAAGATAAAGTGTCTCCGTTTGATTTTATTGCCTCGGAATATGTTAGGACCTTGGTTGACTTAAACTCGTCGCTTAACCCGTTCCTTTACTGTTGGAAGATTAGCAAGATGAGAAAAGCAGTGAAGGCGAAAATTGAGACTGAAGAGCACTTTCCTGACCATCAGAGGTTAGTCCACCATCAAGGCACGGAAGTTTCAACCCTTACGAATACAAGCTTTTGATAGATGTGTCAGTTAGTTGATGCAGAGGCTAACAGTGAAGCAATATTTGTAGGAATTGTGATTCAGATTAACATTGGCGGTTCAATAACTTTGCCGTCAGGTGGCATCTTGCACAAATCTTTCTCTTTCTCTCGCGTAAGAAAATTAACCACAGGTAGGCCAGAGCTTACACGATGCGGTCGAACGTAGAGCATGTGCCAAGGGATCAATTTTGGCCGCCCGAGCGCCAATTTCCAGCGCTAAATTTCAAATAAAACACAAGAAAAACAACTGCTGTCTCGAAAGTTACGCGATAGATAATTGGAACGATATAGAAATCTTTAAAGGAAGAGAAAGCTAGAGAAAAGGAGAACTTTTGTGCACAAAGCCTACTCAATTATGGGTATTCTGTTGATTTACTACTTCGTTTTGAGATTTAAAAAAAGTTATATGCTTCTAAATCACCCTGACTCACTTGGTCTAGTGCAGGTGTTTGAGACTTGTGTGAGTAAGCTTGGTTTTGACAGCCTAAGAGCATGCATGCCACCAAGTTATTTAAATTTTGCCACATGAGGTGACGTTTGACCGCTGTGTTCATAATGTGCAACCCGACTCAAGTTATGTCCCAACTTGCATTAGGATATTCGTCAACTTTATCCACGGCTGAGAAAATTATCTGCAATTTTGACTTCTTTCATAATAGAAGCAATAATTTTTAAAAAGCTTTTACCAGAACAAGTTAACAGGGACGGATGTAGCTGTCGGTGAGAGACATTAGGCGCCTAAAAACATCCGACAGCAAGCTTTTTTTTAATTAAAGATAAACTGCCGGCACTTAACATGGAAATACAAGATATCAGCAGTGTCAACCAAACTGTAATAACTATTAATTTACTCTGTATAATACTATTTTTTTTAATAATAATTAAAATCCAAAACCAAATCTATCGTGGGAACGCCAAAGATTTCTGAATCTCGTCAGAACTAGACTTTCCCATAGATATGTCTTCATTTTAGACATAGAAAAAAGCATTAATTTCGTGCGATTATTTTCTATGTACTCAGAGGACATACTGGTGTTTGTTTACATTAGAATATGGAAATATGAAGCAGTTCCGTTCCTTCATCGACAGCAGCCGGTCAATTTGATTATGGTTCCGAATTCCCCCTTCAAAGCTTTTAGCTCCTAAAGCGTCAGTCTCCTTCAATCGTGGTGAAGGCAAATCAGGCTCACAAAATTTAAATCTTCTCCTCCTAAAATAAACACCCGTGGCTAGAATATATTTAAGAAATATTCAACAGATTTTATTTTCAACACTTCATTCGGGTTCTGTCCACCAGAAACAACTCTCCTCATGGAAATGGCAAACTTTTCTGATGGCAAAAAATACTCTGGAGCGTTTGAACAGCAGCGATGCTCAGTCTCTTTAACAAGAGGAATAGAAGGACATCTCAAATATCTGATAGCGTTTAATATTTTTCTTTCCCTCATTGCATTTCTTGGAAATACTGTCGTGCTGGTGGCTCTTCGAAAGGAAACTTCTCTTCATCCGCCCTCGAAGCTTTTGTTTCGTTGTTTGGCAGCAACTGATCTCTGTGTTGGTCTGATTACAGAACCCATGAATGTCAACTATTGGGTTTCCCTGTTAAAGGAGGACTGGAACACTTGTCTCTATGCATATAAGGCATGTTTCATAACAAGTTACATTTTGTCTTCCATATCTTTGTTAACAATAACGGCAATAAGCGTGGACAGACTTCTCGCTCTGTTACTGGGGCTGAGATATAAACCCATAGTAACTTTAAAGCGAACATATGTGGCTGTGATTACCTTTTGGTTTATTTCCACTACCGCTGCCACACTTTATCTCTTAAACCATCTTATCACCTTTCTTTATGGCTACATATTCATTTCTTTCTGTAGTTTCATTTCAATTTGTTCCTACACAAAGATTTTCCTTACATTACGCCGCCATAGAATTCGCGCACAAGAAACTGTCTCTGATGCAATACTGAGTCAGGAAATGAACCTGGCGCGATACAGAAAGGCAGTGTACAGTGCACTGTGGGTGCAAATGGCTTTAGTGGCTTGCTATATTCCCTATGGCATTGTGGGTGATCTCTTTAGTCATAGTAAACTCACGCCATCGAAGTTTTTCTTTTTAGAGGTAACAATATCCTCAGTGTACTTAAACTCATCGTTAAATCCATTTCTTTACTGCTGGAAGATTAGCGAAGTGAGGAATGCTGTAAAGAAGACCATCAGGCAGGCACTTTGTCATTTATTCAATTAACAAGCGCACTTTTTCACTAAAAGAGCACTGAGTATATACTCAAATATCATCATAGAAGCAATGAGAACGCAATTCTTAATGGAAATAATCAGTAATAATACCGATGGGTTATCACAACTGAGAACACTGAACTGAGAAGTTAGTTCCACACTCCAAGCAAATATTCAACATGTCTAGCTACTAACAAGTACCAAAAACGCAGGAAGTATTTCGATGACGAAACGTATAACATCCTCTCAGTGCAGAACGCCATAAGCAGTACATTACCCACAAATAGCTATACGAATCAATCTTGTTAATCTGTGACTGATAAAAAAAGTTAAAGCTGTAGTCCGTATTCAAAATGTTTTCAAGTTTCGCTTTGACCCAAATAAACACACCTTGATGGCAACCAGGTTTAAAAGATTACGCGGAACCCGTGCCAAGTTCAACCATGGCGCGACTGCGTCAAGCCACACGAAGTTTAGTGATTATTTAACTCTTGCTCGCCTTCAGTAGTTGCCAACCAGGACCTACTTAATTGGACAAAATGTGATGTGATAACTCAGCTTCACACTAGGCAGAAAATAAAATTTGAACGTATGTGTCGCAGAGCATCCATATTTAATGTTTACTGGTCCCACTTGGCTCGCCCTCTCGCCAGGAGAGAAGATTCGTCTCCGTGAGTGAGATTTTGCTTCAATGCGAGAATTTTCGCAGCGCAGTACGTGTGGCAGACTGATTAAGAACAAAAAAACATCCTTAGAACAAAAAAAATTAAAATAGAGAAAACCAAAACGCGACCATGCTGACGAGGGAGAAGATTGTGGGGAACATGAATACGCATTTGATTACAATTTCGACGAAGTAGATGAAAAAGTTTTGAATCAGAAAAAAATTGATTCAATAAAAAACATAATGGTGTTCTGATTAAGCTAGAACAGAGAAAAGATATTCCAATGATTTTTGACACAAGCTAAAAGATTATCATAATCACATATGATCTTTTTAAAGTCAAAACTTGCGTATTAAGTCATCGAATAAGGGATTTATTATTCCAATATCGTTTCACTTTTTAATATTTTGATTTAAGCTTGCATTATATATCCCTACGTCCTTATCTGTGCATCGAATCAATCGCATAAGGAATACAGAGAAAAGATAAAAACAACGGAAAGTGTTCTCTAAGACCAATAAAAAGATTCGGCCGCGCTTAAAAGTTTTTTTTTCCGAGGTCAAGCCTGAAAAACAAAATAAAATCATAGTTTGGATCATTTACTGCGGCACTTTTGTCGCTCGGTATTTTGCCCTCGCAATATACAAGAGATTTGTGACCATAAAATCAGTAAGATGGCCTCACTTGCCACGAGAGTCTTACATAGCTCAGTGGTTTTATTTCTAAGTTTGCTTGTTCCATTTAGTGAATAAAATCTTCCTTCACTAAACCACCAGGCTAAACATGTACAATTTTCATCAACATCATCGTTGCGCATAAGTATCACATATCAAAATTTTTATTCTCGCAGTTGTAGCTATGAATTCGAAATGATAAAACGGCTCAGCTTGCCATGAATCTTGCATCTCAGTGATAGAGCTTTAAAATTACAAATGGTAACTTCGTAGGTTTGAGTCCTAATGGGAGCACTCGAAGTTTTTAATGTTATTTTTATTTTTTATTTAGGTATACTTTTGTCATTCACTGAAGATCATCTTTTTTTACTAAATCACCAGGCTTAAAATTTTCAATCTTCATTTAGATCACTCTTGTGCATAAGCATCACATATCGAGGAACTCAATAAATCGATGCTTAAATCGAGGAAATTCTGCTTTATTTGGGGTCAGTGCGGCGAAATTACGTATGAAGGCAGTAATTGCATTGAAATCTTAAAATTCACCACTTACCACGCATTGAAACTATTCTTTGAAAGTATTCTTTGAAAAGTGGTCGTAGAAAATTATAGATTGTGTTTTTCAGGCTACTTCTAATTTCAAGGTCACGTGATTGAACAGAGGATTAGAACTTATTTTAATGCGTTCGGAAGTCATCATTTACTCGAACAAAAACTTGAAGTTATCTTAAATTATTAAGAGAAAGGTACAGATCCACTCAGAGAATGTCATATATTTAAAATAATATCTTCGAGAAGCAAAATCTGTTTTTTGTTGTCTCATTTGTTTTAAGCAGCTCGCAGTAAAACTAAAACGTACAAGTAACAAATAAGCCAATTTTGCATTTTTAAGTTTCCTCGAATAACAAATTTTCTTTTTCATTAAGATAGCGTGTTTTTCCATCTCCTTAGTTAGATGTACGTAACAGTTAACAACCCGCAAATTGAAATACGACCTTTAATTTAACACTTAGTGGATCGAAATACGGAAAGCAAACATCTTATACACCTCCTTTGTTTTCAACCTCACTAGAACGCACTACACACACGCGGACGCACTAAAACTTGCTGTCGTTAAAACACTCCACGTTTTCAAGAAAACTGGGAATCAGAAATTATAACGATGGGATAAGGCTGAATCATTTGAATAGCTTTGATGCTCAATGGCCTTGACAAGTGGAATACAAGAGAAATACAATCTATTTTTTAACATTGTAATATCTGCCACTGCATTCATTGGAAACACGCTGATTCTACTTGCCCTTCGAAAAGTTCTTCCATTTGAACGCCGTCTCGATTCTTGCTCCGATGCTTAGCAGTAACTGATCTGTGCGTTGCTCTCTTTGTAGAGCCCCTTTATATCACCTATTTAACGTCCATTATCAACGACGATGTGAGTCTTTGTCGATTTTCAGCTGTAGCATCGTTCGTGACAGGGTATATGTTAGGTTTATTATTCTTGCTGACTTTAACTAGAATAAGCGTGGACAGACTTCTCGCTCTCTTACTGTGGCTGAGATACAGACAAATAGTAACCGTGAAGAGAACTTATGTAGTCCTTATAACCTTTTGGGTTCTGGCCTTTGTAGTCTCAGTAACTTGATAACGTTATGTCTGATAACCTCAGTCCTCTCGTAGACAAAGATTTCCTTCGGACTTCGTCGTCATCAGAGGGGGTTGCTATAATGCGAGCCTGCGAGCCCGAGCCTTTTATGACGAGCCGGAGCCATTTTTTGCGAGCCCCGGGAAAATAACATCCAAATCTGGACATGATGCCATTTTATGGTCTTGATTACTGCAGTCTTCATGTGTTCTGCAAAGTGCAATAGGCCTTTTGCAGGAGTTGATCATGTCACCGATTTCCCCTTAGCAACGCCATGCTGACTGGCAAGCCATTCTCTGCGTTGAATGACAACCAGCTGTTATCTTTGTATTGAAGTGTGTCTTCTTTTTTGTGTTTAAAGTGCTCTAATGGTTAATCCTAATCCGTCTCTTTGTCAACTGGAAATATATTATTGCCAAAGCTTACCATACAGTGAATTTTGTGAGATTTCCGACGGAAGTAAGAGAATTGTAGCGTTTACGGCGACCAAAATCTAAATTCTAAAGTTCAAGGGCGTGTCGCTCCAAAACGAGGTTAACGAGGTGTTTGGGACTATTTTACTGATCGAAATGACAACCCAAAGTTGACTGTTTGCACGAATCTTTATTCTTGAAAGGCAAACGACCACAAACCACAATCAATGACGAAAATAACGATTATTCTGACAGTCAATTAATCTATCGAACGATCGATCCTAAACTGAAACAACAATACAACGAAGTTCTATCAATCTAACGAAAAGCCGCGGAATACATGATCAAAGAATCGC